TAGTTTAACGTTGAAAAACTTTTTGATTGAACATCTTGACATCGAGATGTATGACCATAGAAAAATAAAAAGATTTTTAAGTCTTAAAAATAGTGTATTTTACAACATATTATCTACACCATCCATTTTCAAGATTTCCATATGTTTATAGATCTACTTGATTTTAACCATTTTTGAAATCTAAAATTTTATAATTAGATATAAAAATAGATTTTGAGATAATCCTAAAAACATTTTACATCAAAATTATATACCATGGTAAAATTTGAAGGTGCACCTTACCTCTACACCTACGGATGCATCCGTATGCAAACTGCCCCCATTGATAAATATCTAATTAAAATAAATAGTGAAGGTATAATATACTGTAGGTATGATGTTCAGCGAAATGTGACGTAGACTTTTTCCTTTTTTATTGTTTGCACTTCAAAGGAACGATTAGATGATTTGTTGAAGTTTTGTATGGACGAGTGCCTATGGGCCCTTTATGGACATGTTTTGTTGATGTTTTGTATGGGCATGTTTTGTCCGAGATTTTGGAGTTATATTTGGTTTATCTATTTTTATTATGTGTTTCGATGTTTCTTCCGATGATGAAGATTATAGGTATTTAGATGTATGGTTTGTGATCCATTTGTCGAATCAATGGGTTTGAATGTGCGATATATTACGACATATGTCTTTTGTGATCGTCTGTGCATAAAATTGTATCAGTATTGACCCAGAACAGAACAAGCTCGTGAAATTGTTGTAGCAATCTTATATACATGGGTAATATTTCATTTCTTGGATAAGGTTCGTAGACGACCCATTCATGGGTGCGGGTATACATTTCTCTGCTTACTGGGGCTGCATTCATTGAGTATTTAATTCAAGTTGTTTTGACCTTAACGCGCGTATGGATGTTAACTCTTTTTTTGAGGTTTTATGGATTACTCAGAAATAAATCCCTGCTAAGTGATAACATAAATACTGTGGAAGAAGAACAAGCGGCAAGTTTTTGAACTCTTACTCAGTTACTCACAATTTGACCATCAACATTTAGGAGAAACCATTATTAGACATTTGAATAGAGTTTTCAATGCAATATTGAACCTGAGACTAGAGTACATTGTACTCAACCTCGTCTCTCGGTGGACAAAAGATTCATGCCTATTTCCAGCCAGGTAGTAAAGTAACTGAAGTGAAGCAAAATATTCTCAACCATATGCAGTCATCATGCAACTTTTCTTTGTTCCTACATATCCATGATTATGTTGGAGCATTTGATAGAACATGTGTCTCAGCTTATGTTAATTAACATCTTCATCCTCAATTTCACAATAGAAAGCTGGCTGTTATATCCTTCGACATAACGTTACAATACGTGTTCACTGTTTGGAAAATATCTGCTTCAGGTTCCAAACGTGTTCACTGTTTGGAAAATATCTGCTTCAGCTTCAGCATGCAAGGCTTTGGCTCCACAAGGTACTGCCTTCAAGACTTTCGAGGTGGTAATAATCCAAGGACAAAAGAGAATATATGTAATTTTAGATACGCATCATCGCCAACTGCGGTCGAGCTTGCATTTGGCTATGAAAACAAGCTCGACCTCTTTCATCTCCCACAAGTTATATTTGCACACAGACGGATGTCTTCATTTGAAGAAGGGATCTCACTCTCACACAGGCCTGTACACTTGCACTAATCTCATTTCAAATGGACTCTCTCTCTAAAAGCATACACAAGCCTGTTCATCAATAATCAAACAACAGCTGGGGAAAATGTTTGCCACTTTGTGTGTGTATGAGTGAGAGTGAGAGAGATAATAGTTGAATTGTAATTTGGAAATGACAATCAAATGGCACATAGAATTTAAATATTTTTTAATTTCAATTTAGACTATCTAATCAAATACCCCCATGCAGCAAATGCCATTTCCTCACCTCAAAATTGTAAAAAGTTCAATAAATGTTTTTTGAAGTTTTTCATCAAATAGACCCTTAGAAATGGCTTTTGTATTCTAATTAAGCCTATTAAAAATTGGAAATATGAAAATGGGAATTTCTAGAATAGTATTTAGTTTATCGAAAAATTTGAAACTCCAAAGAGAAACAGAAATTCTAGATGGGAAAATAAACAACTAAATAATATTGAATAACTTAAAAATGAAAAAAGTGAGATTGTTACCTTTGAGTAAGTATTAAAAAAATTATTTCGTATTTAATCTTTCAACGGCTCGAACGTGCAACACATGTGCGATGGACAGCAAAATCGCCATTTTACCCATAATTTTATTGAAAAATGAGAGAAGATAGTCTTTATGAGCCATTGGCACAGTAGGTTTAACAAAAAAAAATGGGCAAAAAGTAGTCAATTTAAACTCACCGGAAGAGTACCATCCGATGTAGTTGAGAACATGCATCGTAAAATTCCGGTAAGTATGAATAACTCGTTCGAGTCCAGCTCATTTTTTTTAAAGAAAATAAAAAAAACTAGTGATAATAAATATTATAAGTACTTCCTTTATCAACAAAGTGAGACTGGCGTGTTGGGTGCTGTGACTTATGTAAAAAAACCACTTTTGAGAATGGGGTTGAAGTTACGGTGGTAGCACCACTTGAGCCTCAATTACCAATCTAGGTTTCTATTTCCACTGACATATTAAAAAACTGCTAATTATTTTTAAAAAAGGATAGGGGCTGTATTCCCCACTGACCTACCCAAAAAACAGAATAAGACATCTTTATACGAAGTTTCGAGATCAATTCTCGTGGTTTTTTTTTGTTTGATCAAAGTTAAACGCTTAAATGATGTTTTTCAAAGCAAAGTTAAATGATGT